TCTGGCACCCGCGTCCAGACTTGTGGAATCTCCACTTGTGGTCCCTGGACGGCACGCGGAGTTTCTAGGTGGGCTACCTCCAGCGGTAGTAAACACCATCACGTCAGCTAGAGACGCTTACAGGCTGAAGTGGAAGCTGTTCATCGATTGGTGCACCTGTTCGTCGGTTGGTGTTCTTCCCGCCTGGAAGACCCCCGTAGATGCCCGATCGCAGTTGTGCTTTCTTTCCTGCAGGATGGGTTGGAGCGAAGGCTGTCTCCCTCCACCCTGAAAGTGTATGTTGCCGCCATTGCCGCACATCACAAGGCAGTAGACGGTAAGTCTCTGGGGAAGCACGACTTGGTTATCAGGTTTCCCTCACCTGTTACCCTCTTGGGATCTCCCCTCAGTCCTGGCGGCCTTGAAGGAGGAGCCCTTCGAGCCTCTGCAGTCAGTAGAGCTTAAGTTTCTGTTGTTAAAGACTGTGCTCCTCACAGCATTGGCCTCGGTCAAGAGGGTAGGGGACCTGCAGGCATTTTCGGTCAACGATTCGTGCCTAGAATTCGGAACGGGCAACTGACGTTGTCCTGAGACCCCGGCCTGGATATGTGCCCAAAGTTCCCACCACGCCTTTTAGGGATCAGGTGGTGAACTTGTGAGCGCTGCCCCGGGAGGAGGCAGACCCAGCCATCGCTCTGCTCTGTCCAGTTCGCGCTTTGCGCATTTACGTGGACGTATGCGGAGCTTCAGGACCTCAGACCAGCTCTTTGTCTGCTTCAGAGGACAGCAGAAGGGGGTGAACTTGCAAGCGCTGCCCCGGGAGGAGGCAGACCCAGCCATCGCTCTGCTCTGTCCCGTTCGCGCTCTGCGCATTTACGTGGACCGTACGCGGAGCTTCAGGACCTCAGACCAGCTCTTTGTCTGCTTTGGAGGTCAGCAGAAGGGAAAGGCTGTCTCCAAACAAAGACTTGCCCACTGGTTAGTGGAGGCTATAGTCTTGGCATACCAGGCCCAACGTTTACCATGCCCCCTCGGAGTGAGAGCTCACTCTACGAGAGGAGTGGCATCTTCTTGGGCATTGGCGCGGGGCGCCTCGATAGCAGACATCTGTAGAGCTGCCGGCTGGGCGACGCCTAACACGTTTGCGAGATTCTATAATCTCCGTGTAGAGCCCGTGTCCTCTCGTGTTCTCGCCTCAGGTAGGCGGTAACACCGGGCCTGCTCGGTGTCGATCACGCTTGCTGCGCCATTCCCCTCTACGGACCGGATACGTGCACTTTTTTGGCTCCTCAGTTCAGTTCCCCATGGCGAACCCTGGTGGAGTTCCTCCCGCACCCTTGGCAGTCAGGCGTGGCGGAGCACCAGACGCCAGGCTCAGCACTCGTGTGCATGCCCAAGGTCAGCCCTTGTGCTGGGCTAGGTGCCCGTGTGTAGTGATACCCCCTTCGGGTGATCCCACATGTGTACTCTTCCACAGTACGGCTCCTCTCACGGTAAGCCCGTGTCTTTCCCTAGCAGTCGTTCTCTGCCATCTCTGTTGTGTAGTCGTCTCTGCCATGGGCCAGTCCATATGTGTATTCCACATAATACCTCCTATGCGCAGGATGTGGCTTCCGTAGCGTTCCCAACTGGGTACGCTTTCCCAGTGTTATCCAATGTACCACTGTATGGAACAGCAGTGGCGGACACCTCTGCCTAGCCGCTGTCCTATCTTCCGCCCCAGCTGGTGTGGGGGGACTTGCCGGCTTCCGCAGGGCACTGGAGGGGGTCAGCAATAGTGGCGTTTTCCATAAGGATCCCAAATTTGTCAGTCACGACTGACGTAACGTCGAACGTGACTGACTGAAAGGGAACGTCTCGGTTACTTGTGTAACCCTCGTTCCCTGAAGGAGGGAACGGAGACGTTACATCGCCACAGTTGCTGTACCACCGCTGTACGGCCGGGTCGCGTAGTCTCGGCTCCTCAGCGAAAAACTGATGTGCGTTTGCACGCGCTCTCCTTTTATACCCGCGCTGCGGGATGGGGTGCGCGTGGCGGAACACGCACGCCAACTGTCATTGGCTTGTTTAGTTTACACTCGAAGGGGATTGGGCTCTCGGGCGAGATCCCAAATTCGTCAGTCACGACTGACGTAACGTCTCCGTTCCCTCCTTCAGGGAACGAGGGTTACACAAGTAACCGAGACGTTTTTCATTGGAGAAAGCAATATTATGGATAAAGAACACATATTTTTGTCGGAACAATGATGAACTAAAGTTGTGTGGATTACTTGTAGATTGTGAGATTTTTATCAAATGTTTATCGAACTCTCATTCTAACAGCACCCATTCACTACACATCATCCATTGGTGAAGAAGTGATGGAATACTCAATTCCTCCTAATCTGTTCCCATGAAGAAACAAACTCATTTACATGCTACACACAATGTCAACAAACTTCATTTTTAAAGAAACAGCAACAGATTGAATGGATTCCATTTTATTGTAAAAAATATAAAAAGTCACCAAAAGCAAAGCTTAAACACATACAACAGCAATGTAGCAGTACAAACATTTTTAGAGTACAAATTATGTGCACAAAATCAGCAACAAGCTTGACAGGCATCTAAAATACAGTATTTTCATGTCATGTTTTGGTTCACAGCAATAAAAGAGGCTTCGAGATCGCTGACAATATTGTTTGTAATGCAAAACAAATCAGTATCCACATTTATGGATCATCATCCATAAATGAGGATGGTTTGAGGAACCCTGGTCTATGCTTTTTAGTTTAGATGGCACTGTGTGTACTCCGAATCCTCAGAGACAATCAAGAGTGCTAACAACTTCCTGGAACACCTACAGAATAAAGAAGGAAAATACACATTTATGACGAGAAGACACAAACTGCCATACCTTAATGCATAGACAATGTTTTTTATATTATTAAACAGTAAACTCACTTGTAAGTTTGTGAACAAGTAAGAAAGTGCAATGAAAAGCTTTCGCTCACATTCACTATATCGCCAGCAATGGATCGCTTGACCTGCATAATCAAAAAGAGATTCCCTTATTAGTAGTTTTAAATACCGGATTACTAGAAAAGATGTCCGCAGGCAATGCAGAATTGAAATAACCAGGCTACTACTAATTCAATCCATCATATTGTTCAAACAAACTAATGAGGACTACCTTGGACTTTCTGTTGAAATCCACCTGCTGTATTGCCAATGCAGAAGCAGCCCTGCTCAAAGCTGATCTGATCATATTTTTCGATGTTGGCTAACAAAGTGCCATTTACAGGCAGGTATAAAGTGCTGCCATTGGGCTCCCAGCTCTCAGAGTAGAACACACCTCTCTGGCCATCAATCAAGACAAAACCACCTAGAAGTAATTCACAGGAGTCAAATGAATTACAATTTTGTCCTAATACAAATGTTATCAATATAGTAAATACTCAAATCCTAACATCTTAATGTTTAACAATGTAGCCATAAACAAGGCAACTGGAACTGCTAAATGACAGACTGATGTTGGTTTAGGTTAATAATTGAAAATACTTCATGCATATTGTATTAGCAATTGTAGAAGATCAAAATGAGATTCACAGCAAGGTATTTACTGCAAACTATTAGTTACACACAAGGAATTTGTTGTAGCTTCTAGTACACAGAAAAAATGTAATAAAACCTGTTTAAAAAAATACAAAAAGAAAATTAATAATAATACAATTATTGACAAAATTGTCTATATTGATACAGTACAGCTAGGATAAGGGACATAAGAATGTGTATAAGGGACATGATATATTGAATTGTTGTCATTTTTATTATGTTTTTATTACTACATTTACATTTAATATGATTTAATTATTTTCAAGGACTTTGAGACCTGAGTTCAAAATCTGATTTGTATGTAATCCTGCAACCTATTGTACACGTATGTCCTGAACCAAGAGCCATACTTACCTTTCCTCAAGCTCTCTTTGGAGGGAACCCCCTTAGGACCACCCTCTTCCTGGCCATTTACAGAATTCACATCATTTCGTTTACGTTTACTGGGTAAACAGATGGGCGAGGTCTCACTGAATCCATTAACCCATTGCAGGTGTGTCTGACAAGCGTTACTGGACAGCAGTCCATTGTGCTCCATGATTCACTAATGTGGACTTTTTGTAGGTAAATTACATGCAGCTACAATCTTTGTGTTTTTAAAAAGGCTTCCCTGCCACAGGATACCAAATAAACGCCAGAATATCTGTGATAATGTCTGTAAAAAATAATTAAAATCAATAACGTTATTAGTTTTGTAGCCTATACACAGCACAGGTAACGTTAGAGAAAACTCACAACAAGCGCACACCAAAAATCAAAACAGTGAGCTGTGACACGAAGTGTTGGTTTTCATATTGCCTGACTAGTGCTATGAGGGTAAATGCTAAACGGACATTTTAAGTTTTCAACAAAATCAATGTAATGGCATTCATATCCTGATGTCTTGAACACGTGGTTCAACTGTTTCCCCAACAAAAGCGGTGTTTCTCCAAGAGATGTCAAATACAGGAGTTTCAATAAATCCTTTGTTGCAAATTAAATACCTATAACATTGATTCTACTTTAGCTTGGAGTGTATAAGGACATTTGAGTGTTGACTTTGAATGTGCAATATCACAGTAGAACAAATGTGCATGTTTAGCATATCAAATCATGTCATCTTGTTCCAGTCATGATCAAGATTATCCATGTGAGATGATTGTAATACATGTTTTATCCCTTCTAATCTCATTTAGTTAATGCAGTGCATTTAATTGTTAGATTTTCGCTACCGACTTCTCCATTCATATAATGACATAGTATGGCATCTACATATCCGAGCATTACAGTTTCAGCTCACTGGGCATTTCAGAGCCTGTCAGGCCTGCCAGCAAGTTGTTTGCTGTCAGTTCACTCATGACACCACGTGTGGAGTAGGTGGCACTGCCAATATGAGGGAGAACCACTGTAAAACAAAGTAAGACTGAGTTAGACAAGGTTTTTCTACTAATACATGCCATAAAAATAACATTTGAAGTGCATTTACAAGAGCACTGTTGAGATTTAAAAGCTGCTTTTCACTCACCACAGTTGTTAAGGGTCAGCAGTGGGTGGTTTGTAGGCAGAGGTTCAGGGGTTGTAACATCAAGCCCAGCTGCTGCAATCTGACCACTGCTGAGGGCTTCAAACAAGTCCTCTTGATTCACAACCGCCCCTCTAGAGAAAAGAAAACAGTATTTTTTAGTTTAGCATTGATTTGAGGAGAAATTGTTAACTGCAAAGTAGTAAAAGAAAAATATGTGAAAATCAAACATGTTCCACTGCCGCTCTGCTTTGTCTTTCACCTGCTGGTGTTGATAAAGATTGATGTTTTCTTCATCTTGCTGAAGAAGGTTTTGTCACAAAGCGCCCCTCTAGAGAAAAGAAAACAGTATTTTTTAGTTTAGCATTGATTTGAGGAGAAATTGTTAACTGCAAAGTAGTAAAAGAAAAAATGTGAAAATCAAACATGTTCCACTGCCGCTCTGCTTTGTCTTTCACCTGCTGGTGTTGATAAAGATTGATGTTTTCTTCATCTTGCTGAAGAAGGTTTTGTCACAAAGGCCTTGAGTGTCAGGAGTCAAAGAACAGGACACCACCACAAAATCACTCTCTCTCACCAGAGTGTCTAAAGGCACTGAGTGAAGATTTGAAAAAATTAAAAAAGAGGCCATCATACAATCTTCTTATCCCCTCTAAATAGTTTTATTGCATCTGAATTCATATATAGAGTTGCATCAGGCAATTTCTTGTCCTTTCTTACCATATTCCCCATCAACCTCTTGGGCCTGAGGTTTGGGTTGTCTGCCTGTGTACAGAAGTCTCTTCACTCCAAAAGGCTTTAGTCGCCTTGCAATAGCCAAACCTACAAATCGTCAATTAAACAAATTTATTTAAGCCTCATTTACACAGTGACCCAATTCAGATTTTTTTGCTCATGTGTCACAGATCGGATGTGTTCTATGACCGTGTAAACAGGGAAAAAAAACACATGCATTCAGATATTTCGAGATCGGTTTCAGGCCTCATTCATATGTGGAAATATATCAGATTTAAAGCAGATATGTGCCAATGCAACTGTCACGTAAACGGGCAGATCAGATTATCTGAGGCCTTGCGTTCTGTACTTCATAAAAACGGCAACAATTTGGTACTTCCCCATGGTTTAATGACGTGATATTATTCTCAGGAAGAAGCACGTGTGGAGGCGGTAAATGACAACAATGGAGGAGATATGGCAAGCGTAAACACATGATTTGGATATGGGACTCAATTGAAAGAACGTGTAAACTGATGGTAAAAAAAATCAGATGTAGGCAACAAATCAAAATTGGGCATCAAGACCTGCAGTGTAAACAAGGCATTCGAGTCAATGTAATTCTCCCTATAATGATTAAGTCTAAAGTATTCACCTTCATTGTTTTAACAACATAAATTGGGCGACATCTTCAATTATCCAGAGAGATCACACTACATATGGTAACACGCTGCTTATGTGTAAAGTGACTTGTTTTCACTATGCTTATCACTGAATTAGTCACTTTATTAAAAGAACAGATGGTGTACATAATAGAGCAGATGCATAGGTAGCTTATTTTAAGGTAGAGAGAAAAAATGAATAATTCATACTGTACCTATGCGGCCCAAACCAATCACCCCAACAGTACTGCCTGAAAGACCGTAACCACACAGCCACAGAGGCTTCCATGTACTCCAGCCGCCACTGAGAGAGATGGGAAACATGCCCAAAAAAAACTGGGATATTACAGGGGCACTGACTCTTTGTTTTTAAAGATCATACTTATTAAACATTAAGGGGATAGTCCACCCAAAAATGAAAATTCTGTCATAACGTACTCTCATGTCTTTTTTTTCTTCTGAGATCACAAAAGAAGATATTTAAAGTAACATTGGTAACCAACCAGTTTCAGTTTCCATTGGCTGACATTATGTTTTGTCCAAACAATGGAAGTCAATGGGAACCAAAACTGTTTAGTTGCCAACATACTTCTGAATATCTTCTTCTGTGTTCCTCAGGAGAAAGTGTATAAATGAATACAACATTTTCCATTTTTGGATGGACTATCCCTTTAAGACTGCTGAACATTTGGAACTTTGCAAAGCTGTGATATATGACGTAATGTATTAGAAAAGGTGTTGGACTGACTTTTTCACTTCCTCTACACCCTCGGGAAGACGTCGGGCAGTGGCCAAGAGCAGAGCCACCGTCAGCTCAGCAGTAGCATCCGTCAAAACATCAGGAGTGTAGCCTACTCGTATCCCTCTGGGGCGAAGAAAGATAGTACATGTGTTTAAATTGTATTAACATCCTTACTGTAATCCATCATCATCGATCCATTGTCCATTTTCTCACTTTCTGGGGTCAAATCTAATGGCTTACAGAAACACAAACTTACCGTTTCTTTATCTCATCTATGGCAAGATGGTCAAATCCCACAGATAAAGTGCTGATCACTTTCAAGTTGGGTCCTGAGAATATTTAATGTGTGTTATCGGTATTACTAAATCAGTATCTTCACCTGCAGTTGTTCTAAAGTGGAACAAGAGGTTTGCCTTACCAGCCGCATCCAAGACTTCAGCATCAACTTTGTCTGAGAGTAAACAGAGAAGCCCATGAGCCCCTGCCACCCCCTTCAGGAGCTCTGCCCGGGGCACAGGCTCATCAGAGTCCCACACTGACAAATTACACCTGCACATAATGGATAACAGAGGCATTTAAATGAACAAAAACTGCTCCTAAAATTTGTGCAAGTTGTTTCCAATCATTTAATCGTTTTTATTCTGCTACATTTGTTGTAAGGCTCGTGTCCTAACAGTGTGACATTCATAATTAAGACTGTAAGCATGCTACAAGGTCACTGGTGAAACTTTAAATGCAGGAGTGAAGCCAAACTTGATCTTCCTCCAAAGTTCCTCGAGGTTCAACTTCACACACACATGCTGTTAATGAACACCGTGGCCACCCTAGTTTTGACACGAGCTACTTCGTCTCATTAACACACCAGGGAAAGCATCAAGGCATTTTATATACGTTAAATTCACATATAATGCATGCATGCATACAAGATCAAATAAAGTTTCGTACATCCCGGCTTTTTGGAGTATTTTCATGCCCTCCTGCGGAATGCGTCTCGTGACGAACACTTTCAGCATCTGCTGCGCGCTCATCCTGCACAATTAAAGGCCAAATGGATATGTTCACTACGAAAAGGATAACAACAGAGATCCCAAGACGCTTCCCTATTTACATGTGCTGGGCTGGGCAGCACTAAAAAGTACGTGACAGGCAGGGTTGCCAGGGTTGCCACAACAGAACCCGCACAATTGCTATTCAAACCTAGCCGAAAACTAGACCAGTCGCATTTCGAGGGAGACTCCCCGTTAAAAATCGCGTTCCGGTGGGTAAAATACACGTTTTTGGCGGGGTTCCCCTGGTAAAATTCGCACTCCAGAGGCTAAAAATCACGTTATCGGGGTCGCTATAACCCGCGGCCACAGTGACAAAGTACCCCCATTCCGCGAGGAAAACACGGACTTGGCAACACGCTGGCAAAAGTGTCTTTTTTTTTCAAGAGTTCTCCTTTTTTGCAGGCTTTCGCGCCATCTAGTGGAGCGGATGGACAGCGCAACTGCGGGTGCGAATTTTTTCTGAGGGCATTTCAGACTAAGTTTACTGTTATTGGGATTGAAAATGTACTGTAAATTACGACAGGTACGTTCAACCTTGTGTTGTAAAAATCCCTAATGTGTTTTGTTTGTTTTATTTCAAATGTATTTTATTCAGGGTTTACTTAGCGTTTTATTTCGCTGCATTTGCGTTTGTCAGCTACTGAATTGACGATATGTCGCTCGTATGATTGTTGTAACTTTATTTAACTGCAGGTTTTGAGGTGTTTATTGGCTTTAGTTCATCGGGAGTGTGGTGAGTGTAAACGGTCAGGAGGTCTGGTGGTTGTCGCGAGAGCGCTCTCTGAATCTCCCGCGATTTTAACCGGTAAAACACGAACGAACTCAACTAATGCTGATTTACTTGTCACTTTTTAATTCTGTAAGATTGATAAATGACTGACTTAATGCTTTGTGCATATTTCATTCATCTTGTCAAATGTCATTTACAGTATCTGCTGCTGGTGCTTGGTGTAAGAAAATATCTAAGTCTGCTTTGAAAGGTGAGTGTGTAACGTTACTAGCCTAATACAACTATTGATTGTACTTTTAAATATGTTCAGATTCACGTTGTTTCTTCTGTTTTTCTTTTTCAGAGGCTATAGACGGTCTTTCTTTGGAGGTCCCACCTTGTGAGTGTGTTCATCAGGAAGAGCTTCAGAGGTTTACTGACAATTTTGGGTCTTTGTTTTTTACCTATTCTTTCCATGTGAGTGCCTCCTCACTGAATAATCTAGCAGGAAATTTGTGTTTGACAAAATTCAGTTCTGTTTTATTCAGATATTGTGCTTATATATTTAGTATGTTTTCACATATTTTGTACAATTTGTTTTATCTTAATTTCTTAAAAGTCACTTGTGTTTAATTCTGATATGTTTTTTTGTATGTTTTCACATATTAATTATAAATAGTTTATCTTTATTTCTAAAAGGTTGAAAAGGCTACTAGTCAGTCAGTGGAGGCTGAACTGTCAAAGATCCAGAAATGTCTGCACAGACTCAGTCTGGTTCATGCGCAGGTGAGGCCAGTGCGGTACATTCAAACTATTGTAACAACACTGATCATTTCCTGCAATTACATTGACATAAACCAAAACATTTACCCTTAAGGTGATTTATGTAAATGTGTATATTTGCAATAAAACTGTTGCATATTTAGAATTTTTAATTAACTGTGAGTGAAGGTATTATTCTCTCTCCTCAAGTGAAGGTCTGGTTCTGCCTTTTTATCTATTACAGGTGAAAATCATATCTGAGATTAGGACAGATTCAACGACACGCAAGCAAATGTTCAGGTTGTCTAAATAAACATGTATTCAAAAGTTCTGGGAAATGAATACTTCTATTCAGAAAGAATTCCTTAATTTGTCAGGGCATTTATAAAACTACAAAAGATTGCTATTTCAAATAAATACTGTTCCTTTAGACGTTCTGTTCATCAAAGAATCCTGAAAAAAATGTATCGTGGTTTCCACCGAAATATTAAGCAGCACAACTGTTTTCAACACTGATAACAGTAAGAAATGGATATTGAGCACCAAATCAGCACATTAGAATGATTTCATGTGACACTGCAGTAGTTACTTATTTAAAAATTATATTAGAAAATATATTGTCCAAAATATTATAATAATATTTAGCAATATTGACGTTTTTACTGTATTTTTTATCAAATAAATGCAGACTTTATGAGCATAAGAGACTTCTTTCAAAAGCATCTAAAATCGTACTGACTCAACTTTTGAACGGTAGTGTAGATGATAATAATAAATGTTTTTATGCTTTTGATGCTCTTATTCTTCTCTGCAAGTAATGATGTGTTACAGGTCCACTAATTAAGCCCACTCTTTTTTATTTTTAAAAATGTTTTGGGTGTAATTGTCCTTATTTGCTCTTTTATAGTGGAGGAGAGAAAGGAAGTAAAGTTTCAGCGATGGATCATAGCATTACTATGGACACTGCCGCATACGGACAGTCAGTTCCTGCAATTTTTTATTAAATAGAACAACTTACTAGCAAGCAGAATGAACACCTCAGACTGGTCATTGAGTTTTAACGTCTTAAAAATCTCTACTTGCATTTTGTTTGTCCTTGCACATTTTATTTCTATTTTATTTTGAAGGAGTCCATTCTCTTTACGGTGTCTCCCGTCCTGTCCACAAATGCACCCAGTATTGGGAAACACACTGAGCTGTGTGCTTCCCACTAACATGATAGAGGCTGGACTGTGTGGGGAAATGAGCATGGCTACCATGGCAACACTTGCTCCCTGTATGAATCTGTATTCCAATTGGCCCACTCGTCTCTCATGCATACGGATATCCTTTGTAATGTGCACATAAATATTGTTATTAAAATTTAAGAGTGTGCATATGATTTTAGGCTGCCTGTCTTTTTTTGTTAAAAAAAATGCTGATTCTTATTCACATTTATGAACAAAAAAGATATGTTCTCCTTAACATTCATTGCACATGTTAGTGTACAGTCCATGCGGCATGCCTTTAATGCAACAAACACAGACGAGTTTCCTCCAGAGTTTGGCTACTTCACTTTCCTGGGCAGATCTCGGCCTTTCTAGAGTCTGTTGTATGGAAGCACAAAACATCCAGGGTAAATTACATGCCTAAATGGGGAGAAATTGGGGATACTGAGGGCAAATTCCCTCACTGTGTTATAATTTTATGGATGGAAGCCTCGCTGCAAAGCATAAAGTGCCCTGAGCTACAAATCACTGTTGGCTTTGAGGCTAGAGTTGTTCAGACAGTTTTCCAGCATGTCTATATATTATTTAATTCTGGCTTTTCTCTTTATAGGATCTCTGTGTTCTGATGTAGAATTCTCTGTTGAGACTGACTGCAGCCAGGAAACAAGATGTAGTAGTGCTGTACAGCAGGACATTGAGTCAGAATGGAGCCATGCTGTAGAACAGACTCTGACTGTCTTCGTTTTCACTCAATACACTGACCCCTTCCACTCCCAGATCTCCGACTTCATAGGTGAGTCACGTTTACTTTTCCCTGTCATATAGACATCTTGAGATGGGTCATAATATTTTGACATTCTGCTTTTAAATGTTTCAGGCAGTGAAGAGGTTTTTGAGAGACACTTGGATGCAATTCTTTGGTACAACGGAGATCAAGTGAGGGCGATGCTGCAGACTACCATGAAAAACACGCTGAAAGGATTTCAGCAAAAACATGCTGTAAGGTTCATCTGTTAACTTTCTTTTTAAATGTTAAAAATGTTGGCTACTTTCATTCAATTAGCTACTTTCATTTATTCATTTAATTAGCATTCAAACGTTTAGGAGTAACAGTGTTACAAAAGATTTCTATTTCAAATAAATGGTGATCTTTTGACTTTTATATTCATCAAAAGAAATATATATATATTGTTTCAGCATTGATAATAATAAAAATGGGTATTGAGCACCAAATCAGCATATTAGAATGATTACTGAAGGATCATGTGACACCGAAGAGTAATGGCTCCTTAAATTAGGTTTTGCCATCACAGGTATAAATTACATTTAAAAAATGAGTTAAAAATATTCAAATAGAAAAGAGTTCTTTTACATTATAATAAAAGGTAACAAACTTACTGTTTTTACTGTTGTTTTATCAAATAAAGGCAGCCTTGGTGAACATAAGAGACGTCTTTCAAAAACATTTGAAAAAAATCTTACAGACCCCAAACTTTTGAACACATATGCATGGAACAATAGTGACAGTATAGCCATTAGGCATTTTTTAAAGACCACTGAACCATACATCTTTTCTGTGTGTACTTCAGGCCAGGCAGAGGTTGGGTTCTGCCATACCCATTGTGTTGAGCTCAATGAACAGTATAATTGCCAGCAGCAGCAGTGGAGAGTTTCGAAGAGTGTGTTTTGATAGCATGAAGGTATAACATATGGCTATAATTTATACTGGTTCCCAAAACACCCTATTTTATGTGTCATTCCACTTCTTATTCTTAAGAACAGTGCTTGCTAACTTGTGAAAGTTGTATAAAATGTTTTAAAACTGGGTTTGTTTTAGGTCAAGAGCACCAGCGAGTTACATGCCTCACTAAAGCAGTCTCTTCAAAGCATTGTGGATGGGCGCTTTACTCCAAGGCATAGGTGTAATAAGGAAAAGGTGCTTTTGCAAAGCTTCTTTTAGATTATTTAATTTCTGCTTTCATGATTTTGCCTTTGAACGTTTGTGATTTTAATGTCCTCACAAGGTGGTGGAGGCTGTTAGCACTGAACAGAGTAGTCTTGATGGCTGGGAGGAAGGTACTTTTTTAAATGAGTTTAATAGTCTTCATACAATAATACTGTCTAGAAATTATTTGATACTGGGAATTTTGTCATTATAATTGTTCTCATTTCATGTCTTGGGGGGTTATTGACTTTGAAATCATTAATAGAGTTGGCTGAGATTGTTATATTTTGAAATGTCCACCAGAAAATCCACCAGAACTGTCTTCTAAGAGGATTCACTCTGAACTTCAATACTCAAGCTTTACCCCTACGAAGAGACAACGTTCAGAGATGATCTCTGAGAATTCAGACAGCTTCATGAACAGTGTCTTTGAGGCAGCAAACATCCAGAGAAATTCCCTGTCCCCAATACAGCTTCCTCAAAGTCAGCAAACCAGAATGATCGCAGAAAAGCCCTCAGTGCTGAGCCTGACTAACCTGAAAAATGAACAGGTGGATAATTCTAAAGTTATTGGGAATACTGTATGCCACTTGTTCAAAGCGATACGTAGTCACAAAAATATATCTATACAGTACAATACATATCCTAACTGTTTTGTTATCTCTCTGTGAAGGTGGAGAAGCAGTGGCTTCAAGAGCTTGA